ACACAACACACACACACACACACACACACACACACACACACACACACACACACACACACACACACACACACACACAAACAAACACAAACACACCCCCACACACACACACACAAACACACACACACACACAAACACACACACACACACACACACACACACACCACACACACACAAACACACACACCACACACACAAACACACACACACACACACACACACACACACACACACACAAACACAAAAACACACACAACACACACACACACTCACACACACGCCAATCACACACCCCACACACACACACACACTGGAAAAGTTTGGGAAGCGATGTATTGGAGGCAGATCCATACATAGCTTTAAGCAGAGGTATGATAAAGCTCACGGCTCAGAGATGACCTAGTAGCGATCAGTGAAGAGCGGGGCCAGGAGCTGGACTCGACCCCCGCAACCTCAACAAAGGGGAGTACAACTAGGTGAGTACACACACACACACACAAAACACACACACAACACACACACACACACACACACACACACAACACACACACACCACACAACACACACACACAGGGTGTCTACCACTTTGAGCATCATAACAAAAAACCCCACATTTACGCATGGTGGCGACATCATTTGTTCAAGTATAACATTCCAAAAAATTATTGTTGTTTTTAATTTTTGAGATCAAACCTTTCCTGACTTCGTTAATTTATTACTAAAACTTTCAAAATGAAGCAGTAACTGTAATAAGTACGAAACCTAACCTTTAAATACTAACATAATAATTTAAATTTCTCTGCAGTTATAGGATTGCAAGGGATCATTGTTTATTTGCTTTTTGATTAACCAGGCTATGACTTGTTTGCGTTCTGGACTCATGAAATTTTTATAATAAAAAATTTTAGGTATTATTTTGGTAAATACTGCTCAAAACGTTAAATGCAAAAAAAAAAAAAAAAAAAAAAAAAAAGTTCTCACGAGACCTAAGTCAATATTGTCAATTTGTAATTCCCTTTTTTCTTCTTCTTCTTCTTCATCTTATTAAATATTAATATTATATTATTATTTTTATTAATTTTTATAATTATTATTTTATTTTATTTATACAACCGCCGATTCCACCAGGCAGGGTCCCGAAAAAGAAAAACTTTCACCATCAAATTCATCCAACAGTTTGCAAGAAGGGCTTTACACTAAAGTTTTTAACTGCAACATTAACACCCCTCCTTCAGAGTGCAGCACTGTACTTCCCATCTCCCGACTCAATCCGCCTGCCGTTTCCCTGATCCCTTCATAAATGTTACTTTGTCACACTTTCCAACAGCACGTCAATATTAAAAACCATTTGTCTCCATTCACTCCTATCAAACCGCTCACGCATGCCTGCTGAAATCCAAGGCCCCCGCAACAAAAACCTCCTTTACCCCCTCCTCCAACCCTTCCTAGGCGACCCCTACCCGCCTTCCTTCCACTACAGACTGATACACTCTTGAAGTCATTCTTTCGCTCCAAATTCTCTACAGTCCGACCACCTCAACAACCCTTCCTCACCCTCTGGCAACAAGTTTTGGTAAACCGCAACCTCCTCCTAACTTTCCAAACTACGAATTCTCTGCTTTTATTTACACCACACATTGCCTCAGACATGACATCTCCTCTGCCCCCAGCCCTTTTCCTCGCTGCAACAATCACACCCACGCTTCACACCCAAAGAGCGTTGGTAAAACTATACTCCAACATTCCCCTCTTTGCCTCCAAGGCAAAGTTCCTTGTCCCACAGATCTAAGTGCACCACTCACTCTTTTTCCCTCATCAATTCTATGATTCACCTCATCTTTCATAGACCCATCCGCTGACACGTCCACTCCCAAATATCTGAATACGTTCACCTCCTCCATACTCTCTCCCTCCAATCTGATATTCAATCTTTCATCACCTAATCTTTTTGTTATCCTCATAACCTTACTCTTCCTGTATTCACCTTAATTTTCTTCTTTTGCACACCCTACCAAATCATCCACCAATCTCTGCAACTTCTCTTCAGAATCTCCCAAGAGCACAGTGTCATCAGCAAAGAGCAGCTGTGACAACTCCCACTTTGTGTGTGATTCTTTCTTTTTAAATCCACGCCTCTTGCCAAGACCCTCGCATTTACTTCTCTTACAACCCCATCTATAAATATATTAAACAACCACGGTGACATCACACATCCTTGTCTAAGGCCTACTTTTACTGGGAAAAAATTCCCCTCTTTCCTACATACTCTAACTTGAGCCTCACTATCCTCGTAAAAACTCTTCACTGCTTTCAGTAACCTACCTCCTACACCATACACTTGCAACATCTGCCACATTGCCCCCCTATCCACCCTGTCATACGCCTTTTCCAAATCCATAAATGCCACAAAGACCTCTTTAGCCTTATCTAAATACTGTTCACTTATATGTTTCACTGTAAACACCTGGTCCACACACCCCCTACCTTTCCTAAAGCCTCCTTGTTCATCTGCTATCCTATTCTCCGTCTTACTCTTAATTCTTTCAATTATAACTCTACCATACACTTTACCAGGTACACTCAACAGACTTATCCCCCTAAAAATTTTTGCACTCTCTTTTATCCCCTTTGCCTTTATACAAAGGAACTATGCATGCTCTCTGCCAATCCCTAGGTACCTTACCCTCTTCCATACTTTTATTAAATAATTGCACCAACCACTCCAAAACTATATCCCCACCTGCTTTTAACATTTCTATCTTTATCCCATCAATCCCCGGGTGCCTTACCCCCTTCATTTTACCTACTGCCTCACGAACTTCCCCCACACTCACAACTGACTCTTCCTCACTCCTACAAGATGTTTTTTCCTCCTTGCCCTATACACGAAATCACAGCTTCCCTATCTTCATCAAACTTTAACAATTCCTCAATTATTATTATTATTATTATTATTATTATTAGTATTATAATTATTATTATTATTATTATTATTAGTAGTAGTAGTAGTAGTAGTAATGTGATTATTATTATTATTTTTAGTAATAGTAGCACAAGTAATAGTAGTAGTAGTAGTAGCAGTAGTTAGTAATATAGTAGTAGTAGTAGTAGTAGTAGTAGTAATAGTAGTAGTAGTAGTAGTAGTAGTAGTAATGTGATTATTATTACTATTAGTAGTAGTAGTAGCAGCACAAGTAGTAGTAGTCGTAGTAGTAGCAGTAGTAGTAATAGTAGTAGTAGTAGTAGTAATAGTAGTAGTAGCAGTAGTATAGTAATAGTAGTAGTAGTAGTAATAGTAATAGTAGTAGTAGTAGTGGTAGTAGTAATAGTAGTAGTAGTAGTAGTATAATAGTAGTATAGTAGTAGTAGGTAGTAGTAGTAAAAAGTATAGTAGTAGCAGTATAGTAATAGTAGTAGTAGTAGTAGAAATAGTAGTAGTAGTAGTGAAATTGTAGTAGTTAGTAAGTATAGTATAGTGTAGTAGTAAAGAAAGTTAGTAGTAGTAGAAATAGTATAGTATAGTAGTAGTAGTAGTAATGTAGTAGTAAAAGTTAGTTATAGTAGTAGAAATTGTAGAGTAGTAGTGAAAAGTTGTATGTAGTTAGTTTGTAGTAGTAGTAGTGAGCCCCGGTGGTAGTAGTAAGTAGTTGTAGTAGTAGTATAGTAGTAGTAGTAAGTTTTTTTATTAAATTATTGTGTAGTAGAAAAGTAGTATTTGTAGTGTAGTAGTGTGTGTAGTAGTAGTGTGGTGTTAGTAGTAGGTAGTAGTTAGTAAAAGTAGTAGTAGTATTTAGTAGGTATTTGTGGGGTTTGTGTAGTAGTAGTAGTAGAAAAGTGTGTATGTAGTAGTAGTAGTAGTATGGTGGTGGGTAGTATAGTTTAGTAGTAGTAGTATAGTATGGTGGTGGTAGGTAGTAGTAGTAGTGTAGTAGTGGTGGTTGGTAGTAGTAGTAGTAGTAGTAGTGGGTGGTGGTGGTGGTAGTAGTAGTATATAGTAGTAGTAGTTGTAAAGTAGTAGTAGTGGTTGTGTTATTTGTAGTAGTAGTAAAGTGGTGGTGGTGGTGTAGTATTTAGTAGTGTAGTAACGTAGTGTAGTTGGTAGTTTAGTAGTAAACAGTAGTGGTAGTGTAGTATTAGTCATATAGTAGTAACAGTAGTAGTAGTAGTAGTAGAAAGTAGTAGTAACAGTAGTGTGTGAGTAGTAGTAGTATAAGTAGTGGTGTAGTAGTAGTAGTAGTAGAAAAGTAGTGTAGTGTAGAAACCCAGTAGTGGTGTAGTAGTAGTAGTTTAACATGTAGAAAGAAAGTAGTAACAGTAGTGGTAGTATTTGAGTAGAAATTTTAAAAGTAGTGGTTTAGTAGTAGTAGTAGGTAGTTAACAGTAGTGGAGTAGTAGTAGTTAGTAGTATCAGTAGTATGTATAGTAGTAGTTGTAACAGTAGTGGTAGTAGTATTTAGTAAACTTAGTAGTAGAAAGTAACAGTAGTGGTAGTAGTAGTAACAGTAGTGGTAGTAGTAGTAGTAGTGGTGGTGGTGGTGGTAGTAGTGTAGTAGTAGTAGTAACAGTAGTGTAGTAGTAGTAGTAGTAGTAACAGTAGGGGGTTTAGTAGTAGTAGTAACAGTAGTGGGTAGTAGTAGTAGTAGTAGTAACAGTATGGTAGTAGTAGTAGTTGTAGTAAGTAGTAGTAGTAGTAGTAGTAGTAACAGTAGTGGTAGTAGTAGTAGTAGTAGTAACAGTAGTAGTAGTAGTAGTAGTAGTAGTAACAGTAGTGGTAGTAGTAGTAGTAGTAGTAGTAACAGTAGTTGTAGTAGTTAGTAGTAGTAGTAACAGTAGTGGTAGTAGTAGTAACAGTAGTGGTAGTAGTAGTAGTAGTGGTGGTGGTGGTGGTAGTAGTAGTAGTAGTAGTAGTAGTAGTAGTAGTAGTAGTAGTAGTAACAGTAGTGGTAGTAGTAATGCTTTATATTGAAGATCTGTAATACCAGAAGAGAAATATTTCAACTTACCTAAGAAAGCTATATGCAGAATTGTTGACTTAACCTTAGGATAGGCACGAGGATCAAGCTGGTGGTGTGACCAGGACTGGGAACGTGGGTCAGAACCTGGCACAGTCTTGGCCTGGGGGCCATGTATAGGTGCAATTTTGGCCAATGGTGGATTCATAGCGTGCAGGACAACGGTAAGTGCGAAGCTGATGTCTGCTTGACGCATTCTAGGAGCATCTGTAACGACAAGCATCGGATCATTGATACTAACTGTCATCACTTAACCAGTGATGAATGTGATGTTTCTTTTTGAGTTCCAACGATATTTTCACATTCACAACTCAACTTAGTTTATAGTTTTATAATAAAAAATCTCACATTTGTACTTAATAAAACTGATATGACAGTATATACTTAAGAAAATAACTATCCAAACTGGATGAGGAGAGATGAGAAAGACACATGAGCAACAGTTTGGAATCTTAAAAAGAAAAATCATGGACGAGAGGTTTCTTCTGGTCAGCAGGTTTCAACAGTCGAAATATAGAGCAGACAACAGAAGAAGAGAAGATGTACAGTGTATATAAAGCAATTAGTTCTTAGGAGAGAAAGTAAGTAATAGGTAGTCAGTCCCTCAACTTGGTGAGTGTTCACCTCCATATTTTCTATCAATGTGACACTGAAGCATAAGAAAGCACTTTTATACTGCCAAAAGTGAGGTTCGGAAGTGTAAAGGCGTCACAGGAGACGGGACCAACTATACGCTTGTCCTATGTTAAGTCGTGATAAATTTCTGTCCCAGTTTATTCAACCAAGAGTGCCACTTAGCATACATATAAAAGAAGACAAAAAAAATGGACCTATCCATCAAATTTCACATACACTTATTTCATTATTATGTCGTTCTGATATCTAAATATATGAGTTTAGATCAAGAATTTGGGGTTTTCTAATTTATATGTATGTCACATTTTTCTCAGATGATGAAATGTGAAAATGCTAAAAGATTATTCAGCTGAATATTTTATACATTCACTAAACTACTTAAATACAAAATAAATACAATAAGCTAAAGGAATTTCTAGACAGCTAAAAAAAACCATACCCCGGCTGGGATTGAACCCGCGGTCAGAGAGTCTCAAAACTCCAGCCCGTCGCTCTGACCGCGGGTTCAATCCCAGCCGGGGTATGGTTTGTTTGCAATCGTGTCATTACGATTTCGTGAGTCACTTAGACAGCTAAACATTGTAATTTTATTCTCATAAATTATAATCATTTACATTGCTTTCCTATTTACAGTACTCTGTGTAAACAACATACTTAATGACATTTTCCGTCGAATAGTAACACATGTTGTGTATGTTAACTGAACGAGTAGTTCAGAAAGCACTGTGATAAGTCAAAGTTCAGAATCCAGAGTATTACCACTTGATGCTTTTACTACCCAGAATCTGTTGTCGGTAGATTTCTTTGAGAAAAACGTTACTGAGTGTGCAATGAATATCGAAAGTCACTAAATGACTTAAATTAGGTAGATATGTTTTAAACATAGACACGATATTCATCTCCTTCATAGTGTTTCCCGAGAGAGAGAAAAAGAGAAAGAGAGAGAGAGAAGGGGAGGAAGAGGGGGAGAGGGAGAGGGAAGAGAGAGAGGGAGAAGAGAGAGAGAGGGAAAAGAGAGAGAGAGAGTGACAAAAGTGAAAGCCTTCACTGGACACTCCTTAATCTACAAACAAAAACACATTCCCTCACCGGCAATATGTGACGAAGCCTCGATCACCCTTGGTTTGGCTTTCGTTGTAGAGGGGGGCTGTACTGCTAAGTAAAAAGCATGGCAAGGTATAAAGAATCCTACCACCTTAACGGGAACTTGCACATGCAAGCCTGTGGCTATGGGTGATGTTCAAAAGGGGGCCATTGCAAAAGGGGAGGGGGACACTAAAGAAAGTTGCATCAGGTGGGGTAGGCTCCAAAACCTGGGGTCCCTTTCAAGGACAAAAAGGTTATCTCCCCAATGAACTTATTCCCCCTTTAAAATCGACAGGTGGGCCCACCTCTACTATGTCAAGAGAAGGCGGACCTTTTGCTGAACCTTTGTCCAAAAAATGCAAGTTCCTGTCCAGAAAGGGACCCCCTTGGCTAGCTGCAAGAACTGTGTAAAAACTGTCAGGGGGGACAATAAGGCAGGGGGAAGGTGCATTTTACTTAAATCGTTTTGACCAGAAAAGGCTGTGGGCCCAGACAAGTTGACCCCCAAGATTTTTGAAAAGTGTGCAGCCCAGCTGCAGCCCTCTCCCTCGCATCTTTCAGCACTGCCTAGTACAGTGTAAAGGGCCCCTTCTATGGAAAGAGGCAAATTAAGTCCCTGTTTACAAAAAAAGAGCAGAGCAGATATCGCAACTACAGCCCAGTGTCACCCGTCAATCACTGGTAAGATCCTTGAGACAATAATCTCAAGCAAATGACAGAGTTTTTTGACTCCCACTCGTATTTTGTGATCGTCAATATGGCTTCAAAAAAGGCTACTCTGCTGCTGATTTTTGAAAAAAACCCTCTCCACTAAGGGCACCAGTCTTGGAAATGAATCCAAAGTCAGCTGGGGTAGCACTGGACATTTGGCGCTTTCGCCGGGGTTGTGCCCAGGGCTCTTAGAAAAAACTTCAAGCACGGGGAAATTGCAGGCTCTACGCTATGTCTCCTCAGTGATTCCCTTCATGGTAGATCTCAAAGTGTTTTTCTCAATGGAAGGGATCAGAAAGGGAATCCTTTTGGGGGCAAGTTTTCCCACAAGGAAGTGTGCTGGGCCATTGTCATGGAATGTGTTCTTCACGACCTTTTTATTTTCCCAGAACACATGCATTCAGACGATGTAACTGACATTCACTTTTCCAAGAAAGGAATGAAGTGTCAAAACTACATCAATCACAGTGGGGAATACCTTGGGGAAAAGTGGCAAAAATTTTCCCTGAGAAAAACGAAATGATGATCGTCTCTAGGCACCATGATGGTATGGGTGCAGTATAAGGTGAAAGGGGGGTGTTTGGCACCTGGGGAAGAAGTTGATTTTTCCTTGGGGTGAAATTTGACTCAAAAATAACCTGAAAACCCGTTGTAAACTTGAAAAAAAAGGAGCCAGAAGCTTACAGCACTTCGCCGTATCTCCATCTCTTGACAGTAGGGGGTTTCAAGATCCTGTACGGGCACAAGTACGCTGTACCCTTTAGTATGCTCCAAATTTCTTGGGTTTTCCTGCCCCCCTCTCATCTGCGACTGCTTGACAGAGTAAGAACGAGAAGACGTTCCCTCTCTCGCCGGACCCACCCGGATAGATCTTCATTTCAGAGAGCCTTCACATAGGGGGATGTGGGTGGCCTTTGTTATGTACAAGGCCAATATTGCAAAATCCCATTGGATTCCCCCCTTCGAGGGCAGCGTGAAAAAGCTTTTATGCCACAAAAACGGGCAGAAAACAGCAAATTCATCTGGCTTTACCCTTCTCCAGAACATCACCATCTGAGATCATTTAAAACCCAGGATGACTCGAGTATGGAACACATTTACGGATAATGATGTCAAAGATAAAATCAGTTGATCAAATGAAAATGCTGGCCCCCAGTGGCTCCAACTTCATCCGTTTCTACTTGTATTCTCATAAACAATAAAAAATGCTTTTTAAAAGAGTGAGTAGTAACACTCTTAGTTGCCCTTAAAGTTAGGAATCCTTAACCTGTAAATAGCTGTCAATAAAGGTAGGGATCCTTAACCTTGTCAAACCCTGTGTAAAAAAAAAAAAAAAAAAAAAAAAAAAAAAAAAAAAAAAAAAGAGAGAGAGAGAGATTAAAGACAGACAAAGAGTGGTTTCTTCTACAAAATGAAGTAAAAGCCTTTCTAATGCAGGTTATAAGTCAGCATTCTCTGTTCCTACCTTGATTGTAACATCACAGCTTTCAATGGTATGTGTTTTACAAGCTTGTGAACCGGTACATAGCACACTTCATCTAACATAAGAACATAAGAAAGAAGGAACACTGCAGCAGGTCTACTAGCCCATGCCAGGCAGGTCCAATTCTGCCACCAGCTTAAGCCAATGTCTTGACCTAGTCAGGTCAGTCATATTCACTTAAGGGAGGAGCACGGCATCCGACCTAGTAGCACAAGCTAGTCACTCACACCCACCCACACCAACTCATGTATTTATCCAACTTATTTTTAAAACTATACAACGTCTTAACTTCTATGACGGTACTGGGGAATTTGTTCCACTCATCCATAACTCTATTACCAAACAGTTCTTTCCTATATCCTTCCTTCCTGAACCTGATTTAAAACATTTGCTGCGAGTCCTGTCTAAGCTAGATATTTTTAGCACGCTGTTTACATCCCCTATATTAATTCCTGTTTTCCATTTATACACCTCAATTATATCACCCCTAATTATAATTCTTTCTAGAGAGTGCAGATTCAGGACCGTCAGTTTATCCTCATAGGGAAGATTTCTGATACATGGGATCAACTTTGTCATCATTTTTTGTACGTTTTCCAGTGCATTTATATCCATTCTGTAAAACGGTGATCAAAACTGCACAGCATAATCTAAATGAGGCCTAACCAAAGATACAGAGAGTTGAAGAACAACCTGAGGACTTCTAAAATTTATACTTCTTGCTATGAAGCCAAGGATTCTGTTAGCTGTACTGCAAACACTTATGCACAGTTGTCTTGGTTTCAGGTTACTGCTAACCAGCATGTTTGAATCCTTCTCGCAATCCATAATATTAAGATCTACATTATTTAGTTTATATGTGGAATGGTTATTTTCCTGTCCAACATTAAGAATTATGCATTTGTCTACATTAAACTGCATCTGCCACTTCTCCGACCACTGCATCATCTATTCAAATCATCCTGGAGTGTTTTAATGTCCTCATTAGAATGAATTGGATGGCCTTTTTTGTGTCATCATCAAATTTGCTCATGTCGCTATTTATTCCCTCATCTATGCCGTTTATGTATATTGTGAACAACAACGGGCCCAACACTGACCCCTGTGGAACACCGCTTGTCACGTGCTCCAATTCTGATTTCTCCCCATTTATGCAAACTCTCTGCTGCCTATTTGTCAAGCATGCCTCAACCCAGGAAAAAATTTTTCCTCCTATTCCGTGTGCATTAAGTTTTTTCAACAGCCTCTGATGAAGAACTCTATCGAAAGCATTCCTAAAGTTCATATACAC